TTTGCTTAGCTGTTTTGCTTATACTTCTTTCTTTTTCTGTCATTTCTATCTCATCTTGTATTGACACAACAAGTAAATATCATGTCGAAATGCTGTGGGTTGCTCGATTACTGGTAACAAAAACGTGTGGCTGGTTAATGGAATGTTTATTTCGTCCCTGGATCCTGCGCTGATCTCGCTTGTCCTGAACGAGTACTGAGTACTGGCACAAAATTTGTTCACGGGTTATGAATTCGCACTATCCCGATAGTCTGCTTAGGTTGCTGATGTCTTCTCTTCAACACAGGTGCCCTGTATATCGTAAACTGACAGGCTAGGTTTGTTTAGATCTGTCTTGTCTGTCTCATCACAATCGGACGCTAAATCTTCGGAACACCTCACTGAAACATTGCAAGTCCTGGTAAGATCTCGTTAAGGCTGAAATACGTTTATCGCAGAGTTGTAGATTCATGTAATGCCATACTTAAGGATACGGCTGTAGTAACACAGGCGAACGCCTCTGAACCTTGGTCACATGTTTTTGAGTTGAAGTACAAACATTTCAAATGGGGCCCTTAACATTTATCTCCATTTCTTTGACATTACCTAACATTGCGACTACTACCGCACTTTGCAGATTAGCAGATAAATTAAACTAGCAATTTTTCCTTTTTTGCATCCCATCCATTCTTTATTCATTGGTTCATTGGTTGTTAGAGAGCAGAAGGTAGTAACTTTGTCAGCTCCAGCAGTTCCCGCTCGTTTCGGTTGCTGGGATCATTGCGGTACAAGGTTTTGCAGCGGGCTTCTGTGGTCGAATGGGGGCAGCAAAATCGTTGCGCACTCAGGGTAGCGATCCAACAGTTATTCGAAACATTCCTCCGCGTCCGCATCGACGACAACCTCTGGCAAGCTATTCCAGGCATTTATTACCCGGTTGGATAGGGTCCGGTCAGACTGCGACGAATTTGGTTGCAGAGAACGTGGCCATTGATTGGTACAAGTCAAGGCAAGTAAAAATATATGTTTTATTTACACGAAAAGGTGCATTTTCAGCATAATAAATTATCAGGTGCACATTTACCAGAGGGTTATCATCAAAATGCAAAGTTTACAAAAGAATATAAACAGGAGGAGGCCCTGACTTAAATCAACCAAGCAACAATACTAAAAAGTTAGACTTAACCTTCGGGATTTGTGTCCATTGAAAACGGAAAAAGTTTCGTAAATTGGTTCCTCAGAATTTCTTTCAACAGACGCAGAAATATGAGTTTTGCAATAATATATCAAGCATCGGACGCGAAATATTGTGTGCAGATTAAATGTTCTATAAAGGGTCGCAGTGGTCTTGGCAGTGGATTTAACTACACACCTGGAGGTCCTGTGGCTATTCAACGGGCTCTGGAGAGGCTCTGGGAATGATCTGTTTTGTGGTTATTGCCCATAAACCAGGCAGTGTTCAGTGCTGCTTATCGGAGCGTCTGATTCATCCACAAGTTATGTATTGATGGGACTGTACTTCCTCACGTGACTCATCAGGTTGATCTAGGTGTCGTCCATTGTTCCACACGACACTCTTGCGACAACTGGAAGAAGGCGGCTAGTAAAGGGTTCGGATGTTGTGGTTTATCCGTCGTTCTTTTGGGACCATAACCGCTAATGTTTTTGTGAAGCTCTTCTCAGCGTGTGCGACCCCACCTAGAATATTGCGTCCAGGCCTGTCCACCATGCCGTGTCCGGAACAAAATGGCACCAGAAAGGGTGTTGCTTGTCGGTACTAGGTTGATCGAGGGATTACGAGGACAAACGTACCCCGAACGCCTACTTAGTTTGGGGATGAATTCAATGCACTATCGAAGGACTAGAGGGGACGTAATCCTAACCTACCGTATTTTGACTGGGAAGGTTGGCCCTGATTCGTCCTGGCAATTTAGTCCTGCTAGATTATCTGGTCTCCTCGGGCATTGTATGAAGCTGGACAAACCGCGGTCCGATCGAGTAAGAGCGGAGACATGGTTATCGCGTCGAGTCATCGAGCGTTGGAATTTGCTTCCAGAACCTGTTGTCTAGGAAGCTACGGTTAAGGGGTTTGAGCGTCAACTAGAGATTCTTGGGTGGCCACACGAAACCTTTCCTTTTTCCTGACTAGTTCCCAGCTTCATACTTCGATTCTATTTTCTAAACCTTTCCTCGCCATTGGCATTATTCACTTTTTTAGCTGATTTCCCCTACTTTCTTACCTTCGCTTTTTCTTCCTCTCTTACTTCACGTAACTGACATAGCTGGGACAGCTAATGTAAGGAGCGTGGGCATTAAATTGGTGAACCAGGGTGCTTTTTGGGTGTTTTCCTTCTAGACCTTTCAAGAAGTCGGAGCACACCAATCAACTCCTGGATGGACGACCAGCTCAAGAAGGAACAATTCCGGGATTCGTCCTATCGTTCCAGTCCCACCTGAACATGAACTTGTTACGATATTGAGATATATACAGTAGATGAAGTAAAAATGATGTTCGGGGAAAAATTCAGATTCAGATGGACTGGAACGATAGGAAAATCCCTTGAGTGTTCCTTCTTGAGCAAATCGTTGAGCCAGGAAATGATAAGGTGTTAGTTCTTGATAGATCTAAAACGAAACAACTGAAACACACCCTGATCAACCAATTACTGCCCACGTTCCCTGCACTAGCAGTCCCCGCTGTGTAGGTTACGTTCAGTAAGAAAGGAGTGGAAAGTAAATGGAAGATAAAGGGGAATGAAAGTCATTAAAATGAAGGATAACACCAAAGAGTGAAGAGAATGACAGAATAAGAACTAAAAAGTTGAAGATGGATATGGTCAGGAGAAGGGAAAGGTTCCGTGTTGCCACCCAAGAGCGTCTAACTGACGCTCGAAACCCTTAACCGTAAGTTCACTGACTACACTTTCTGGAAGCGAGTTCCAGCGCTCGATAATTCTACGCGGTAACCGAGTTTCCGCCCTGATCCCGTCAGAACGCGGCTTGTGTAGCTTCACGGGATGACCGCGAAGACAAGGCAACCTAGCCGGGCTAAATAGCCAACGCAAGTTCGGCCCAACCTTCCCCGTTAAAATGTGGTATGTAAGGATTAGGTCTCCTCGAAGCCGTCGGTAGTGCATTGTATACATACCCAAGCTAAGTAGACGCTCCGCGTTCGGTTGCCCCCGTAACCCCTCGACCAATTTGGTACCTACTCTCAAAACCCTCTCAAGCTCCATTTTGTCCCGAACAAGGCAGGGCGCGCAAGCCTGGACGCAGTATTCCAGATGGGGCCGAACGAAAGCTGAGAACAGCTTCACAAATATGTCGGCAGTTAAGACCTCGAAAGAACGGCGTATTAACCATAACATTCTGAAACCCCTACTAGCGGCCTTCTTTCAGTTGTCACCAGAATGCAAAGAGGAAGAATAGATGGCGCCTGGGTCTACCTAATTGGAGACAAGGGGGAGTTCGACCCCCCGAGTACGTATCTCGAAGGCGGGAAAGTTGCTCCTATACGAAGGACGGAACACAGCCTAATTTATGGGCGGTAGCCACAAAGTAGACCAGTCCCAGAGTCTGTCCAGTGCATGCTGTATGGCCTCAGAAACCCCAGGAACATTTACAACATTCCATAGCTTAAGGTCATCAGCAAACAATAAGGATGGTACCCCAAGCTCTCCAGGGAGATCATTTACTTAGATGGAGAACAGCATCGGTCCGAGGACCGAGCCCTGTGGGACACCGCTAAGGACGGCTTGCTTAAAGCATAAGCTGCGACCCACACGTACACACTGCTCTCTTCTCTGCAAAAACGCAGATACCCAGTGAAGGGCGCGGCCAGATACGCCGTAGGACCTCAGCTTATGTGATAGCCTCAAGTGGGGTACCTTATCAAATGTTTTCGAGAAGTCTGCGAAAAGCACATCCACCACGTGGCCATTGTATACTGCCTCGGCCCAAGCTTCACGAGCAACCAACAAATTCGTCAAACACGAAAATCCATTCCGGAATCCATGTTGTGCACTACTGAGCAGATTAAATCTATTCAGGTGACATTCCAAAGCATCTCTCACCAGCTTTTCAAGCAGTTTGACCACGGCGCTAGTCAGACTAACTGGACTGTAATTGGCTGACAGACTCCTGTCGTCATTTTTGAAGATAGGACAGATGACAGCCTCCTTCCATTCGGAAGGTAATGTACAGCTGTCAAGTAATTTCTGAAACACCATCGTCAGCGGTCCACTTAGTTCCCCCTCCATTTCATGCAGAAGCTTTGGGTGAATTGAATCAGGTCCAGCTGCTTTGGAAGGGTTCAGTTCTTGCAGCAGTTTAAGGACTTGCGTTTCCACCACAGTAAACTCAGCTAAATAAGAACAATCAGGTACTCTGGGGACCAGTTCAACGTTAGTCAACGCGGTCCCACGTACGAAAGCCCCTGCATACTGTTCCCCAATACACAAGCCTTATCTGAGTCCGCATAACGAACGCATAACGACCGATTTAAAGGCGCCTCCGTGAGGTTGCCTGAGATCTAAGTGCTATGTATTTATTTAACCATTTGGGTTTCAATTGATCCCGTGATCTCTGTCTTGGATCGACGACACACTCACGAAAGAACACACAAGGGTTTTTTGCTGTTCGTCCAACTTGAACTTGAGTTACTGCTGAATAACAAATTTTGCACTCGTTAGTTACTTTATATATAGTTTAAAGACGCCAAGGTAGTGACTAGAATTTATGAGATTATGTCCAATTTTCATATATGCATTTACCCTATATACCATGATTGTAATTGGAGTAGTGACCTACGACTGCTGTACTAAAATCACCATCACCTTTGCCGGCTGCTTGGCAATGGCCCTTTCCTGCCTCACCGGTCTGCGAATTTGCCAACCTTCAGTCTCTACAAATGAAACGTTAATTGAAAGGCCACTTGAACATTTAGACGAAACGAACTTGTATTGGTCTAAGAAATTGCAGGTGCTACTTAATCCTTGTCTTTACTTTTAGAGTAAATTGACTCATCTCCAGCATGGACTTAAATGCGGTTCTGTCGAGTTTGCTTTCAACCATGGTACCACAACTCTTGCGTTCAAGTATTCCGGTGGTGCCATTGTTGCTGCTGACTCACGTGCATCATCTGGGTCTTACATAGGTACGTTTGTCTGTTGCTTCAACTTCCTCCAGCTTCTGGGACAACTGAGAAGATTCTGAAGATAAACCAATATCTCCTGGGAACCATGGCTGGTGGAGCGGCTGACTGTGCCTACTGGGAACGCGTTCTATCCAAGCAGTGCAGGTATCAGTCTTTCTTATCTTGGGCATCACTAGGCTTTTCGAGTTGCGCAACAAAGAAAGAATGTCAGTCGCAGCAGCTTCTAAATTGCTCGCGAATATGCTGTTTGAATACAAAGGCGCCGGTCTTAGTGTTGGTACAACTATTGTTGGTTGGGATAAAAAGGGCCCTGGTGTTTACTATGTGGACAATGATGGTCATAGGATGGCGGGTGATCTTTTTTCCGTTGGTTCTGGAAGCATGTACGCTTACGGAGTGCTAGACACACACTATAAATACCACATGAAAGATGAAGATGCATACGAACTTGCTCGCAGAGCTATATTCCACGCTACTCATCGCGATGCAGCTTCCGGGGGGATTATTAACGGTAAGCCTGCTGTTTGTCGTGATGTTTCCTACAGTATACCACATGACAAAGGATGGTTGGAAATTTATCGGCAAATACGACGTTGCTGACCTGTATCACAAGTACATGATTCAGTGATATAACTTTAAAATAAATGTTTTCTACGTGTTTGTTTTTTTGTTTCTCAAATTGATCATCCATTGCAGTCTTTCTTAATGTTTTTCAGGTCTTATGAGTCGGAAATGCCCAATAACTTTCCTTGAGCTTCGGGATTTTTGCCTTAATGTTCGCCTTCGGAAGCTTAGTCTTTTGGCTACATATATTATTTTTGTCGTCTTCATTTGCGAATACCTTATTTACTACATCGCCATTTCTCAGTGCATTTGGCCACGACTTCCGTCCATATCAACATCAAAGCAGAGCGTGAACACTACTATCAAAACGCTTGTCTTGGCTGACCCTCACTTGGTTGGACCATTTAAGGGGCATAATTTGGATCGCCTGAGGAGGTACATGGTCTTTTCATTTCTTTTTATACATATGCAGACTGCTAATCGTAACGCCTCTCTGACGCTGGTCTTAGTTCACACTGTCGTAGCGCAGCCTTTCTGATGCATGCAGTTCACTCACGCAAAATATTTCACATTGTTAATCTCATCACCTGTTTCGCTTGAACCTTTCTTATCTCTGAACCTAAGTCTTCAGCAGTTTGTCTTTGAAGTTCAACTAATTATAGAGAGCAGATGTGGTATCGTTGTCAGCTGTCGATTCCAAATCATGGCGCGTTTGGTGCGTGTCGTTGCGCGACGATATTTTTCAACGGTTCGTTGCATTTTCAATCACGTCAGGAACCTCCCAGCATCAATCGATTAGGAGTGTAGTGAATTTGAATGAGGAATACGAGTTAGAAGATATGAGCACTAGTGATTAGGCTTTATTAAGCAAGCAAGTGAGGCATATAGGCTGGAATGAAATGCGGTAAGGTTATGATAAACGAGTACAAAGTGGTAAATTTAAGGCTGGAGTTGTGCGGATTGGTTGCTCGTTTTCTTTGATATTGCTTACAATAGTGTGAAGGATTAGGTGGACAAATGGGGACCGATTGGAACACCCGAGTGTCACTTGTGTGTTATGGGGTCGTTTAGGAGATCTTTGTGATGGGGGCTAGAAGGGTCACTAGACTGACATAGTCCTGGAGGTGCCAGGTTGCGGAGTGACACATTATCTTTTACCTTGGAATACATTGAATACATGGAAATATTGAGAGCAGGAGGGAGATCACTTGTCAGTTCCATCGGTTCAGAATCATCCTAAGGCGAGTGCTTGCTTTCGGAAAACATTACTCCTTCGCAGATCAGCAGCAGGACCCTGTCATGTGCGTTAGATGGGTGTCTAGCAATAGCTTAAAACTTTCTTCGGTCTGCGAGTCAATGATGTCCTTCGGCAGACTGTTCCACTCATTTACCACTGGAATAGAGGGCAGCTTGTGGACGGGCGCGAAGTGTCCTCGGCTTAAATAATTTCCATTTGTGGCAACATGTCGAGCTGCCCACACTTAGATGAAGGAACTGCTGCAGCTCACTTCCAAGCTCTCCCCTTTGATGCGTCTGGTGTAGAGGGGATCTCCGCGACAGCGGCAATATTCCATGCGGAACAGCTTCCAAGTCTTAAGTCGAAGAGTGTAGGGAAGATCCCGAAGCTCCAATTTAGATTTTGAACCGCGCCTCTGCACCTATATCAGATCATGTTCACGTCTCGTTAGGGGGTAAGCGGCCGGGAAACCATATTCTTTAATCGGGTGGACATGCGAAGCGAACAGGGTTCTAAAGATCTCAGGTGTGATTTTACAGAACGATCTTCGCAAAGCCCAGAGCATTCGGTTGGCTGCCGCGAACTTCTGCGTTCAAGTTCAAGTTCAACTGGGACTAGAACGATAGGATGAATCCCGTAAGTGTTCCTTCTTGAGCGGGTCGTCCATACAGTTGTTAGGGGTGCTCCTATTTCTTGATGGGTCCAAAACGAAAACACCCGAAAAGCACCCTGGTCCACAAATTTAATGCCCACGTTCCTTACATTAGCTGTCCCTGCTATGTCAGTTACTTGAAGTAAGAGGGGAAAAAATCGATTCGATAGCGTAAGGGAAATCAGTTAAAAGAAAAGAATAATACTAATGGTGAGGAAAAGTTTAGAAAATAGAATCGAAGTATGAAGCTTGGAATTAGTCAAGAAAAAGAAAAGGTTTCGTGTTGCCACCCAAGAGCATCTAGTTGACGCTCAAACCCCTTAACCGTAGCTTCCTTGACAACACTTTCTAGAGGCATGTTCCAGCGCTCCATGACTCGACGCGATAACCATGTCTCCGATCTAACTCTATCGGACCGCGGTTTGTCCAGCTTCATACAATGCCCGCGGAGACCAGATAATCTAGCAGGACTAAATTACCAGGACAAATCAGGGCCAGTCTTCCCAGTCAAAATACGGTAGGTTAGGAATACGTCCCCTCTAGTCCTTCGATAGTGCATTGAATTCATCCCCAAACTAAGTAGGCGTTCGGGGTACGTTTGTCCTCGTAATCCCTTGACCAACCTAGTACCGACACGCAACACCCTTTCTGGTGCCATTTTGTTCCGGACAAAGCATTGTGGACAGGCTTTGACGCAATATTCCAGGTGGGGTCGCACACGCCGAGAAGAGCTTCACAAACACAGCGGTTAGGGTCCCAAAAGAACGACGGATAAACCACAACATCCGGAACCCTTTACTAGCCACCTTCCAGTTGTCTCCAGTGTACTGCAAAACAATGGACGACACCTAGATCAACCTGATGAGTCACGTGAGGAAGTACAGTCCCATCAAGTACATAGCTTGTGGAGTAATCAGACGCTCCGATACACAGCACTGAACACCTTGCCCAGTTTATGGGCAGCAACCACAAGACAGACCATTCCCAGATTCTATCCAGAGCCCGTTGAAGAGGCACAGGACCTCCAAGGGTATCAACAATATTCCAGAGCTTTAAGTCATCAGCAAATAAGAGCGATGGTACCTCAAGCAACTCCGGCAACTCATTCACGTAGACTGAGAACAGCAGCGGACCTAGGACAAAGCCTTACGGAACGCTGCTAAGGACAGCTTTTTGGAACGAAAGACTACTTCCTACACGAATACGCTGTTTATGTCCTTCCAGAAAAGCTGACATCCACTGGAGAGCGCGACCAGATGCTCCACACGACCTCAACTTTAGTGAGAGTCGCGAATAGGAGACAGTGTCAAAGACCTTGGCGACGTTAATGAACACCACATCCTCATGTTCAGTGTCCACGGCTTAAGCCCAGCACTCACGAGCTACCAGCAAGTTCGGTTGACACGAAAATCCTTTTCGAAAACCATGTTGCTCGACGATAAGCAGGTTAAATGTTTAACTGGTTCTCCACTATATCTCGTACTAATTTTTCTCGTAACTTAACGACCACGCTAGTCAGGCTGACAGGCTTGTAATTAGCCGGTAGGTCGCTGTTACCGCACTTGAAAACCGGGCAGACAACAATTTCCTTTCATTCGGTAGGCAAGTTACGGCTTTTGAGTGCCTTCCGAAACAAACGAGCCAGCGGTCCACTGAGTTCCAATGCAAATTCAAGCAACAAATTTGGATGGACAGAGTCCGGTCCAGAAGCCTTAGTTGAGTTTACCTCTCTTAGTAGCCGGTGAACTTGAGACTCAGTTACAGGAATTTTATCCAGACAACAGTCCTAAGAGACACCTGAAGCTACCTCTTTTCATGGTGTATTTGTTTCGCAGACGAAGTCGCTTGAGTACTGCTCACCAAGCACGCACGCCTTGACATAGCCGCTATAGGCATGGGTCGTATCTTCTCGAAGCAATGGTGGAATGGGCGAGTTTGCACCACAGCGTCGTTTGAAGTAAGCAAAGACTTTGTTGGGAGTTTTCGAGGCTGTATCAACCAAGCCCTTTTCATACTGAAGCCGGACCAACCTAAGATGTAGCTTGCACTCATTTCGAACTAACCGATACTTGGCAAACGTGCTGTTCGACGGAGCTGTTCGGTACGCTCGCCAGCATCTAGATCGCTTCTTTAGCAGGCCTTCCCGCAGAACCTACCCACGAGGGCTGCGCGCTCGATTCCTTTCTTTTTACCAGTGGGATGCGGGGTGCAGAAATGTAGACGAGGTGAGCCTTAAGTTTTTCCCAGCCTATGTGAACCGTATCGTCTCAGATATCACACAAGCGAGGACCTAGCTTTATCCCGCATCGCGTGGAAGTCCGCGGCCTAAATATTCGGATATTAACTGGTAGTAGCTTGGCAAGGTCTGATAAGGGTACAGTGGAAAGATAAGCAAACGCGTTCGCTAGCGCAAATAGGCGATTCCTATTTAATGTCGTTTGCAAAGTCGAGTGACTTAGCAAAAAAGAGCTAAAACGGACGGCTGCTGATTGCTCAGGTACCTCCATCGCAAGGAGGCTGAACTCCATCGCAATGAGTCTGGGCTCCATCGCAATGAGGCTGGACCATCGCAATGAGGCTGGACCTTACTATGGTGTGATGGTTTGTGTGCCTCTGTGATCCATTGAGCTACACTGGGTGGTGCATTTTCGCACCTTCAGAGCCACTCATACCAGATTGGTCAATGGTTCGAGACCAAACAAGCTCAGCCTCCTGGTCCTCCAGGTTGGGGGTTGGAATAAGGGTGGCACCTTATTCCTTAAAACAGACTCCTTGTAGCCCAATGCCAAAAACGCTGCCTTGCGGACAGGTATTTTAACCAAAGGCTTTGGTTGAGAACCCCAATCGTTCTCCTGCCTAGGCCTGAGCAACTTGACAGAATGGTGCCCACGCAATACTATGAAACTCACTTAAAACAAATTTCTGATGCTCTGACAACCGCAGAAGATAATCAACGGTGCCCTTTATGCTGCATCGAGCAGGGTGGATTTGGGTTTGGATGCTACTGCTCAAGCCTTCCCGTCTTTTCTTCCCCCTCTTGCGCTTTTTCACCCTTATCGTCCCGTTCCAGCTTCACTTTTATCCCCCTGTTTTCAACCCCCATTCTCGGCCCTCCCCCACCTTGCTTCAATAGTTGCTTGTCTTTTATTTTTAACTCAC